ATATATATATATATATTTATAACCAACTAATTATGTTCTTAAATTCAACGGCTATGTTTGAAGATCCAGCCAATTCCTGATTAATAAAATCAAGTTCCTTCCCCATTGACTGTTGTATTTACTCTAAATTACAGTAAATCAGATTGTGAAAGTAAAATGAAGGCCATACCACATAGACTTTAAATTGACACAAAAACATCAAAAACGGCTATTCAGATAGCACTTTAAAAAAATGAGCTAAGAGCTAAGAATGGATTTACCCAGCTGTACTTTTCCAAGGACTTATTTCCTTTGTGTTATAATCCACACTTCAGCTGAGTCTTCAACAGAAGGGCATGTTTTTCAAAGAGAGGAAGAGAGGAACGGAGATTTGGCAGCGTGGTATGTGGATGTGGCAGCAGTGGACTGTACGGCAGTCCTAATTGGCTTCTGGCTTTTACTAGCTGCTGTGCTTAACATATGTGGTACCAGCCTCCTCTTGCTCCTACTCTGTTTTAACGAGCTGGAAGATGTAACCTGAGAGCAAAAAGGCGGATGAGCTGAAATATTTGACTATTGAGTCTGCCAATCAGATTGGGTTTTGGGATTGTAATGTGATTATCTGATGAATCAAAGCTAAAAAGCCAAGCATATTTGCATTTATATGTTTTTTAATTCTTAGATGTGCTGCTCCGAAGTGATGAAAATTTACATAATTTAAGACACATGTGCATTGAGTTGACTAATTATAAAACAGTCATCTATTACCAGGAAGTCCATGACTCACTTTAATGCAAGTCTGAGACAGTTGTTTTGTTTCATTGAACACCAGGATGTTGCCAAACACAGTAACAAAACTGTTCAGCGATACAGGGTGCCTTTTCTTAGTCCAGTTTTTGTTTGTCATGATTTGATTTTTATTTTATTTTTACAGTTGCAACTTTTTATCTCTTAATTTTGAATTTACATGTGACATCCTGAAGTGCCTATACATTTTGTTCAGATGTAGTTTCTTTTAAAAATTCAACAGGCTTGTCTTTATAATTTGAGTATTGAGTTTCTAAATGTCTCTTGATTTCATATTCTGTTCAGCCCATAATTCATGGCACATTGTGCTCAGCACAAACCAGGTGTATCCTCATCGTCAGTAATGGCTATTATAGTTATGTAAATACAGACTTAACCAATAGTAATATGGAGTGAACTAAATAAGCAGGCTGCTGTGCTGTCAGAGTGAATTAAATAAGACTCAGCTGCTCAAGTGTGACAGCACTGACTGGACAATATATGCTTGTCCATGTTCAGTCTAGATCTTTGTTTGACCTTTGACCTCTTTTTCCAGACCGTGCATCGGGAGGTCACAGGAGGGCAGACAGACGAAGGTTTGGGTCCTGAGATCATGCCGCCGAGTCCATCACTCTTGTGCCAGGAAATGCCACTCAAAGTGCATGTCGGAAAACCCAGCAAAGGTGAGTTCCACAACTGCATGCAATTGGATCCACAAACACACTCTACAATGTTATATGCAAAACAGGGTCAGTCGTCCTACAGTTTGAATGGTTGAGCTTGGTAAAAAATTGACGTTCTAATACAGAAGCTGGAACAAGAATACACATGCTGAAATCTTTTAAACTGAAGTTTCATTCATGTGAGACAGCTGGTGGAGGATGTTTTCAGCCCTCTCCTCAGGTCTCTTCCAGCAGAGGAGGATAAATTAATCAGAGCGACACTTAAGCCCTGTTCACACCAAGAACGATAACTATAAAGATAACGATATTAGCGTCCACACCAGCGAACGATATCGTCTGTTTATTCTACGAGCACGCTCGTCTGCCGCTTTAAATTCACGAGCTCGTTATAGCAGGATGGATTCTGATTGGCTGTCAGTTTTTTATCGTTCATCAGCTGGAGAAAAATCGTTTTGTAAATGATTCCAACGATATCGTTTCTCTTTGTCTTTATCGTTATAGTTGTGGTGTGGACTCTGCTATTCTTTAATATTGAGAATGATTTTTAGAACTATATCGTTATCTTTATAGTTATCATCCTTGGTGTGAACGGGCCTTTAGTTATTTTAGTACATCAAGTTAAACAAAATGAGAAATGTTGATGAAACTAGATGAAATAAAATAAGTTAAGTGTTAAGTGTTTATTGGATTTTATTTAATTTAACTTCAATTTCAAATAATGAATAATGTTTTTTTTTGTTTTTTTTTATAGTTAACTATAATAGCTCTGCAAATGATATGAGCTGCTGCCCATTTTGTATGGATGTCATCACTTTATAGTTATTGTCCTTGGTGTGAACGGGCCTTTATCTCACAGAAAGAGATTACACTTGCATTGTTATTTTTATGTTTTCAGTTTTCATTTTAATTTTAGTTTTACATTTTGCTATGTGCTTTTTTCATTTTTAGTTTATTTAAATATATTTCTATGTAGCCTTTTCTATTTTTTATTTTTTTTAGTAATTTTTAACTTTTTTCAATAATTTTGAATTTATTTTAGTTTATTTATTTCGGTGCAATATTTCAAATTTTCCCATTTAAAAAAAAAAAATATTTATTTATATTTTATATCAGCTTAATTTAAATTACCAAAAATTATTTATAATACTTTTAGTTTTAGTTAAAAATAACATGTAGCATATAGGGGTTTCGTCACTATTTTAGTGTTTAGCATATACAATTACAGAATGTGGGAAGATGATGGGGAAAAACGCATTAAATATTAAATTTTGCCTGGCTGACAAACATTTTCAATGCAACAAAAACTATGTTGCAGAAAAGTATGGAGTGAATGGTTTGTAGCCAAATTAATTTGTCTAAAACAAAGCCACGTTCATTGTAAAACCATAAACCAAGCTGTAATGCATCAATCATCATTACTAAACGTGTTGTTCTCAATGTATTTTCAGTGTGCACGTTGTCTTGAATACTTGGTTCAATGACTTCAGGCAAGCCCTACGAAAGACAATTTACTTACTTTTATCTTATTCTTTTCCATAATCACATAATTAGATGGGTGAGGCTTTCGGCAGAAATCAAGCGCGCGATTTTGTTTTGCCAAGCGAAGCGTCCTTCACATGAAACAGTGGATCTCAGATTGTATCAGGTGGTGAACAAACTGGATTAAACTGATACCCACACAGATCTACAAAGACTTAAAAAGCAATATCACACAAGCAGGAGCACTGTTGTACTAAATATAAAAGAAAACATTGAATAATATTGAATAACTTACATTTCCGACAGATTATGGACAGCTGTTTTGTTTATTTTTGCCTGGCTAACAAATATACTTTGATTATAATGTTGCAAAGCATGAAACCGATTCAATTCCAGTGTTTTAGCACTGTATTTTTGAATCTGAAATACAGTATGTTTTTTTTCAGTTTTCATTAAAATCAAAATGAATGCTGCATGAAATCCGCTTATTATGAGGTTCATATCCGGTTGAAGATTGATCCTCTCTCTCAAGCGTCTGCTTATCAGGTTTAATGTTTTTTTATTTTTTTATTTTTTTTTAGCTTTAGTTATGAGATTTTTGATCATTTGCTGGTGCACTCTGTGTGAACTCTGTATCTTATCATGGACAGGCTGTAAATACATCTTTTATTTGAGTTCCCAGAGTTTGTATTATCAACTAGTGGAACATGAGAGTGTTTGCCTCTTGTTTGATGGAAAATCTTGGCCATGCACTTTTCCAGAGTGTATCTCTTGGTTTGTGTGTAAGTGAAAGACTGTGTAGTTTTCTATTTTAATCCTGAGGAGAATATTAGAGAAGCAACCTAGTATGTCTTACCTGGACTCACATGTCCACACAAGTTTTGCTAGGGATGTGTGCCATCATTTCTTGAGTTCTTGAGTTCTCTCTTGTGAGCATAAGTGTGTATTTTTAGTCCTGTTTTGTCTTGCTGTTGGCTCAGGCAGCAAACGCACCAGATGTCATATTCACACACTGAGTTACATTACATACATTTTAGAGTGTCCTGCATATTCTCTGTTTATCTCAGTGTTTTATTCCTGTGTAATCACTAATCAGCATACTGTATTTCTACATTTTTACATTTCGTCACCTTGGAATTATAAGGTTGTATCTGCATTCTGAGCAGTTTCGAGATATTGAGCTTCAAAGTTTTTGCATTCCATATAGTGATATGGAATATGTGGAACAAGTCTCTTTCATACATCAGTCCCAAAATGTACACAACTTAAAAAAATCACATTTTAAAAGAATATATATATATATATATATATATATATATATTAGTGATGCGCGGATGGCGGTTATATCCGCGGGCGCTGC